AACCCCGCATTTCGGTGGCTTAACACAAAAGTTGATTTCTTGCCCATGGCACAGTGCACTGTGGGTTAGTGGGGGTGGGGAGCTCCATGCAGTCATTCAGGGATCTAGGCTCCTGCCATCTTGATGCAGTCTCTAGGGCCTCAGAGTCCTCTCCTGACTCCTGAGCAATTGGCCACTAGGTGAGGAAAGGGAAGACATAGAAGGTACACTGCTCCAAACCACCTCAGTCCAGAGGTAACAAACCTCACTGCCATTCACATTTCATTGGCAAAAACTAGTTGTGGGGTCCCAGCTAAATGCAGGAACTGGGAAATGTGGTCTAATCATGTGCCAAGAAAGGAAATAACCAGACCCTGGTGACCAGTGAGCCACCTCTGCCACGGGGGTGGGCAGATTCTCTGATCCCGTCAGCCACAGAGGAGTGCAGAAGTTGGGACTCCTAGGTCGCTCCCCTGTCTGCAGCCTGGGCCCACACTCCCTGAGCTCCATCCTCCTCCTTCCACCCGGGAAGAGAATCAGTCCCTGCCAACCCCTCTCAGAGGGTGGATGGTTGGTGAGATAATGACCTTACCATGCTTATTGCCTCTTAGAAGGCAGGTGCTGGAGAAAAACCAAGTCCGCTTTGATTTTTCTCCCTGTTCCCTTCGCATTCCCTCCCAGGATAAATTTAGCCAGCCCTCACTTTGAACGGCAGTGCCTAGGATACGACTTTTTGTTCTGCGAGTCGACGTCAGTGTCAGAGCTGTTTTCATGCTTGCAGCCTTTGGCCAGCAGTGAACATGTCAGGACCACAGGCCCAGCCTTTGCCCTGCCCCAAACATCTGCGACCCACCCTTTCATGCCTGCCCACTACCCACAGGCATCAGGAGCCACGTTTCTGAGACAAGGGCCCTGAATTCTCCCAGTGATGTGAGACAGAACACAGGCTTTAGAAGAGCTTTGAGATCTTGCACAAGGGCTGCATTATCCTTAACGGCCTCTGAGAGCTCAGAGGCAGGATGGCTCAAGGGGCATGAGCGTGAATTCGGAGGCATCAGTATGGATTAGAATCCCAGCTCTAGCAAGTTAGCTTCTCATCCATGTCCTCATCTGTACAATGGGTCAACAGCAGTGTAGTCTTCCTGAGATTGATGGAGATGCTTATATTAAGGAATTGCCTATATTGTTGGTGCTCTGTAAAGATTGTCCATGGAGACAGCGATGGCTGGTTATACTTACCCTCAGGACAATCCGAAAGCCACAGGGAGGACTTCCTGGAGCCTTGTGTCCATTCAGGACACCTCTTTTGCAGACTTCTTTAAAATATCCTGAGAGTCCTGCTTGGAGAATTACGTTCTTAGACCCTGTCATCTTCATAGAAATGACATCCTCTCTTGTGTCCATCCTGTTCCCCTCCTTTGCTGCACCTTGAATTCATTCTGTTTTGCCTTGGTTGTGAAGCCGTCTTCCTCCACCACCTGGACTTTAACTCAGCATCATTTTAAAGATGGTTTAGCCCCTCCCCTCTCTCCCTGACCTCCAAGCCCTCTTCCGGCTAACTGCTTGCACTTTCAGCTGCCTTCCCAGCATCATTCTCATTCTTACTCTGGCTCTTACTCCTTCTTGGGATCCTCTTGCCTTCCCTGCCTCCCCTGCCTCTCCCTCAGCTGCACAGCCCACAAGGAAACACCTTCCCGGGTCAGGGTCCCCTGGAAACCTTTTACTCACTGAGTAATTCTCAGCCTTACTCACTCAGGCACACCAGCTCTGCTCATGCCCACGCACAGGCAGAAACAGAAAATGTGTCACCCATTCTCCTGTACTCCCTCCTGACCCAGATAAAGCTCTCTAGGACTGAGCTTCCTCCTCCGTCAAGTGGGCGTGGTCAGGTAGGGGTCCTGAGGGGAAACAGTGGGTGGTCTCACAAAGGGTGATTGAATAAAGATAGGATGCACAAAAGTGCATTTGAGGTAAAGGGAAGGGGACTAACCAGGCCAGCGAAGGGCCTCTGCGCTAGCAGTGAGGGCGAGCTGCTACCACCTAGGCTGGTGGGAGTGAGGGGAGGAGCAATCCCTATAACCTGAAAAAAGGCCGAGGCTGCCCAGCCACCTCAACGCCCTGGCCTTTCTTTCCCTACCCTCTGATCTCCTGTCTGCGCCTTCCATTGGCTGAACCCACCTGGAAACAGAGGCCAAAGCAGTCTTTGCAAGCCAGGCTCTCAGGGCCCAGAGCTGGGTGCAGAAAGAACAGAGAATGGGTGTGGAGGAGCAGACAGAATATCTAACACGAGAATCTCAGTGGTGTTCGTGTTTACGCTGTCTCATCAGCAGACCTTCTAGTGGACCCTGAGCTCACCTGTGCTTATGGACACAGAAACAGACACGCTGAAGGCAGGGAGCATCTGAGGCCACACTAACCAGTGGCAGAGCCAGGATTTAGACCCGTTTCTGCCTGATTCTAGAGTGTCCCACTGCCAGATGGCAGGCAGAGCAGGTAGTAGCAGACATGTTGTGATTTAAGGTGACCCTTCCCCATCACAGGTCATCTTCCTCTCGTGCCTATAATCCCTCCATCATTGATTCACAGGGCTGAGCATTTTTTTCTCTCTGCTGTACAGGTTCAAATGCAAATATCCCCAGCAGGAGCACCATGTCAATTATTAAACACTTTCAGGAAATACGTTTCTCAGAGCCCTGGTGGTGGAGGCCTGGGAGTCTGTGGGGACTGGAAACCCTGAGAGGGCACAGTGTCAACCCCAAATGGTAAAGGAGCTTTCTGGGCCCTTTCATTCCAGTGATTTCACTTAATCCCCACAGCTTTCCAAGGATACTGGCATCAGGAATGCATTTTACAACTGTGGGACAGTAGCCCAAAGAGATGACACTTTGCTCATGTTAGAGTTTGGCCCACGATGGGCAGAGCCACACAGCAGAAAGTGCACTGGCTTTAGAAGCCAAAAGATTGATGCAATTTGAATCCCAAATCCAGCACTTCACTAACTACGAAACCCCAGGCAAATCTCCTCCCCACCACAGGCATCTGCAAGGGGGTCTGAGCACTCACCTCTCTGGGTTGAACATTAACCTCTGTGTGTGGTGAGAATGAAATGGGATCATTCTCCTAAGTCCCCAGCAGCCAAGGTAGAGAGGGTGTAGGGGTCAAAGTCTCTGACTTGGGCAAATCTAGTGCTGGGCTTACCAGCTGGGTAACCAGACAAGTCACCTCTCCCCCTCGGAGCCTCATTTGAAAAACGGAGCTATCACATGCCTGTCTATAATCCTGCGTTTTTCATTGCGTCTAACAGAATACCTGAATCTGGGTAATTTACAAAGCAAAGGAATTTATTTCTTTATGTATAGAGGCTGACAAGCCCAAGGTTGTGGAGCCAGCTGCATCTGCTGAGAATCTTTCTACTGGTGGGGACTGCAGTCTCGGGCTCAGGGTGTCACGTGGAGAGGGGGCTGAGTGTGCTAATGTGCTAGCTCAGGTCTCTCTTCCTCTTCTTACAAAGCCACAGTTCCCCTCCCATGATAGCCCATTAATCCATTAATCCATGAATGGATTAATCCATCCATGAGGGCAGAGCCCACAGGGTCCAATCACCTCTTAAAAGCCCTACCTGTCAATACTGCCACTCTGGGGATTAAGTTTCAACCTGAGTTTTGGATGAGGGCGTTCAAACCATAGCACTATCCCATAGGTTTGTTGCAAGGGTGAAATGAGATGGAGTCTGAAAGCACCTTTTAAAACTGCTCTATAAATGTAAACATATTTCTTCAGCAATACCAGCAGCCAACATCGGCGAGTGTTTCCTGGGTGCTTACTGGGTTCCAGGTACTGTCTACACCCCTGACGTGTGTGGTTTCACTCAATTCTCATGGCAGCATTATGCAGCAGGACGTGTGTGCGTGTGTGTCTGTGTGTGTGTGTGTGTGTGTGTGACAGAGTTTCACTCTTGTTGCCCAGGCTGGAGTGCAATGGCACGATCTCCGCTCACCGCAACCTCTGCCTCCCAGGTTCAAGCGATTTCCTGCCTCAGCCTCCCTAGTGGCTGGACTCACAGGCATGCGCCACCACGCCTGGCCAGCTTCATATTTTTAGTCGAGATGAGGTTTCTCCATGTTAGTCAGACTGATCTTGAACTTCCCACCTCAGGTGATGCTCCCATTTCAGCCTCTCAAAGTGCTGGGATTACAGGTGTGAGCCACCGCACCTGGCCAGGACTTTTGTATATTATTCCCACCTGCAAATGAGGACATTGAGTCTCAGAGATGTTAAGTGATTGGCCCAAGGTTGCACAGTCAGTAAGCAGCAGAGCCAGGCTTTGAGCCCAGGTAAGCAGAGAAGCCTGTGGAGCAGTGAGCTTGGAGCATGGAGTCTAGCAGTGGCTCAAACTGTCAAACACATCAGAATCAGTGACAGAAATTATTTAAAAGGAAAGATCTGGCCAGGCAAGGTGGCTCACCCCTGTAATCCCAGCACTTTGGGAGGCCGAGGTGGGCAGATTACTTGAGGTCAGGAATTTGAGACCAGCCTCACCAACACAGTGAAACCCCATCTCAACTAAAAATACAAAAATTAGCCAGGGTTGCTGGCGGGCGCCTGTAATCCCAGCTACTCAGGAGGCTGAGGCACAAGAATCACCTGAACCTGGGAGGCAGAAGTTGCAGTGAGTCAAGATCATGCCACTGCACTCCAGCCTGGGTGACAGAGTAAGACTCTGTTTCAAAAATATAAAAATAAAAATAAATAAAAGGCTAGTTCTTGGGCTGCACCCACAGAGATACTGATTCTGTGGGTCCAGGGTGGAGCTCAGGAATCTGCTTTTATAACAAGCCCCCAAGATGATGCTTGTGTGAGTGGTCAGCTAACCACACAGGGAGGAGCGTGGTAGGTGTCTCCGCAAACTGTTGGTAAGGGCTACTCAGTGAGCAAGGACACAGGGCTCCGGAGGACCCAGGAGGTTCAGGCGGGAGACACAGGAGCCCACAGCAGGACCCACCTCTGCCTCTGACCTCCAGGTTTGCCAAGTACTACAAAATGGAGAACGGCAGTGAGTACCGCACCCTCCTGAAGGCTTTCGGCATCCGCTTCGACGTGCTGGTGTACGGGAATGTGAGTCCATGGGCCAGGCGGATGGGGTGGACGGGGGAGGCAGCCAAGACCACCTCTTGGATTCTGAACAGGCTCCTCTGGGGGGCAGGGGTCTGCTGCTGGCCAGCTTGGAGTGGACCTCAGTGGGTCACTCTCCCATCTCTTCCCCTGTGCTGTGAAGGGGAGGGACCTGCTAATCCACCAAGAGCCCTTCTGGCCCCAAGTGCAGCCTCAGACCTCACCCCCATCCCATGGGCCCTCTGCCCACTCACCTTGGTCTTTGTGCACACAGGCTGGCAAGTTCAACATCATCCCCACCATCATCAGCTCTGTGGCGGCCTTTACTTCTGTGGGAGTGGTGAGTTCAGCCCCTCCAGGCTCCGACAGGCCAGTCAGAGTGGAGCCCAGATTGGCACCAGCAGGCAGAGAAGTGACGGGGGCAGCTCTGCCTCTGCCTGGAATATAAAGCGCCCCCCATTTGCCAGGTGCTTCTGTCTCCCTGGCCACCACCCTGCTGCGTAGGCCCTGGCTGGAACGTCTCCAGTCATGGAGCGCTCATTACCTCCTGAAGCAGCCTTCCCATTTTCAGGAGGTTCCACCTGTTACAGAGTTTCTATTTCTCATGGTGTAGCTGGGGGAGGAGGCCCTGGGTTTCCGCAGACCTGAGATGCCTGAATGAGGAACAGAGCCCATGTGGCAGGGCGGGCACACAGCCTGCCTTCAGGGACTTCCCCCTTCCACCCCATGCAGTCCTCTGTGCAACTGTGGTCTGGGTCACCCCTAGGAGCTGGAAAGGCAGCCCTGAAACATCCTGCAAAATCCCTGGGCATTTTTCTAAGAGAGAATATCAGTCAGGTGGAGGACTGGTCCCCACCCTGGCCTGCAGTCTGCTAAGGTGCTAGCTTGGATCTCTCTTCCTCTTTTTATAAAGCCACCAGTTCCCCTCCCATGATACCTCATTAATCCGTTAATCCATGAATCCATGAACAGATTAATCCATCCATGAGGGCAGAGCTCACAGGGTCCAATCGCCTCTTAAAGGCCCCATCTGTCAACACTGCCACGTTGGGCATTAAGTTTCAACATGAGTTTGGATAAGGACGTTCAAACCCTAGCACTATCCTATGGTTCGTTGCAAGGGTGAAATGCTCTGCTCACTGTTTAGGCAGCTGGGAGGAGGGTGAGGGAGGGCTGCCCAAGCCCACCACTTCCTTCCACCCTGCTCCCACCCACCCCACCTGCCTCTCCTCCTCCAGGGGACTGTTCTCTGTGACATCATCCTGCTCAACTTCCTCAAGGGGGCCGACCAGTACAAAGCCAAGAAATTTGAGGAGGTGAGTTGGGGGCAGGGGGCCCTTGGATGAAAGGGAGAGGGGGAAGGACAGTCAGGGTCAGGGACCCTCAGTGGCTTCCCTTCTGGGGCCTCCTGAAGTAGAGTTCACCGGGCCTGAATGAATATTTGGGGTGCAGACAAGGGAAGGCTTGGCCAAGAGTGGGCTCTGCAGAGAATCTTGGAGGTTCTGTGGTCATCTCTGTCAAGGTCCCCACCCCGTCACCTCCCCTCTCCATTTTCTGGGGCAGGACTACGGGATGCATGGGATGAATTGGGTTTCCATTTGCCCTCAGGGTACGTGGGAGGAGCTTTGGGATCACAGACATTCTGGCTCCCCTATGACCAGATCATGGGTGCCCACTGCTGAGTCTATCAAATGGGGTCACATAAGAGGACATTGCCCATAGTCAGAACTGGACAGCGCCAGCTCTTCTGCCTGCAGGTGAATGAGACAACGCTGAAAATCGCCACTTTGACCAACCCAGTGTACCCCAGCGACCAGACCACAGCCGAGAAGCAGTCCACCGATTCGGGGGCCTTCTCTATAGGCCACTAGGGCCTCTTTCCAGGGCCCCACCCTCACCCTTGGGCTCCAGGCCTTCCAGCAGGGGACCCTGCCTGAGCATGGGGGCATGGGAGGGAAGAGGGGCTCTCATTTCTGCTGCTCAATCCATGAGCATAGCTGGGACCAGGTGTCCAGCCCTCCCATTGCTCCAGCAGACAGGCAGTGCCCCTGCTGAGACCCCACTGTCACCCTCACTCCTTGCTTGGCCCCATCTGCTTCCTAGAACCCCTGGGGCAGTAGCACCTGAGCAGTCCCTTTCCCAAAGAGTAGAGATGATAATGTAGGACAGATGGCCACAAGGGCCTACCAAGTGCCAGGCGCTTTCACACACGTTATCTCATTTAATCCTTAGAATAATCCTATGAGGTAGATATTAGTTTCCCTTGTTTTGAAGATAACCAAGGCTCAAAGAGACTGAGTCATTTGCCCCAGGCTAGATAGCCAGGAAGTGAGAGAGAGCTTGGATTTGAACCTCCATTTGACTAACTCCATTGCCCACACCCCATGAGAGAAGAAAGAACTCCTGGGGGCCGTCAGCCCTGCTGCTTCAGCCGCCTCCGCGCTGACCGTGTTGCTGTTCATAAAGAGTAAGCCCCATGCCTTTCCCAGCAACTAAGGCTGCATTTTAGGGAGACTGGTTAGACAATGTTGTGTGGCCCGATGGGTGGGTCCCAAATTTAGAAGGAAACAGAAGACATGGCTGTTGGTGAATTTTTCCTTATCACACCCCACAGCTCTCCCCTAACCAGGGAAGGGGCCATTCTTGTTCTTCTCTGGGACCCCACACTCACACACAACTGAGCCCCTCACTCTGGGGATTTGATTACTGGACCTGGGAGTTCCGCAGCCCTCATTTACAATATCGGCGAAAAGGCTCCAGTGAGGCCTGGTGCCTTGTGAGCTGGTCAGCTGGGTCAGCCAGGCCTGTCCCCACAGGGTCTTAATCAGGTGTCCCGTCTTTTAAGGTTAGAAGCTAAAGGGGCCTTAGAAACCATCTTATCTAACTGTCTTGCTTACAGATAAGCAAACTGAGGCCAGAAAGGAAAATGACTAGTTCAGTGCCACAGTCAGTGGTGAAAAGAGAACACACATGTCCTGCCCTTCAGGGGAGGAGGCCAGAGCAGGAAGCTGGGTGCATTGACCCAGGCATCCTCTATCCCCGTTCTGGCCTCTCTTACAGTGAGAGGCCCAGAAGTTGCACCAGGACAGGGTTCAGGGGCAGACCCAGGTTTTCTGAAGCATAAGCATATACAATTTGGGGGCATCTCTTTAGAAAGAATACAAAATGAGGTATAGAAGGGGTTCATGCGAGTGAATGAGCCTGAAGAATGTTTCAGTAGCTTCATGGTAAATCTGCATCTGGTAGAGTTGGAGTGGGCATGATCATGAGGTCTCAGCACCAGCTCAATTGTAGATGGAGGGCAGCCCTCATCACAAGGTGCAGGAAGTTGGGGAGGGGACAGCTTCAGGAGCAGTTCAGGAGGCTCGAACGGTGGGTACTTGCAAAGGCCTTGCCCCAATGACCCCCCACCCCAGGGGGAGAAGGGGTAAGACCCTCCCCACATAAGGCTCATCACCCCCTCCATCACTCTGCCCTAACCCACAGCCCCATGCCCAGGATGGTGCACAAGGGGCCAGCTAACCACACAGGGAGGAGCGTGGCTGGTGTCTCAGCAAACCGCTGGGGCACGACCTCCCCAGGGTCAGCCTTGGGAATTGGGCAATGCCCAGAGATCTAACCAGAGAGACATCAGTTTCCCCAGCAGAGATATCAGTGAAGGCAGCACCACATTCTCCACCTGGGACTCCCCCAGGCATCCCTGGGGAATCCAGCTCTTGGGAGGCTGGGGTCACAGGGATGCTCTCTAATGGGGAGATGAAGGAGGCAGTGGTGTCCTGAAGGGACCCTCCCCCGAACTCCCCTTTTACCCAGATGGAGGTGGTCCTCCTGCAGGTACCTCAGGCCCCTCTAGAGCCGGCCAGCAAGTGTGTGTGAGCCTGAAGTTTTCCTCCCTGTATCTGAACTAAGTCACCGTTTCTGTGTGCTAGATGTAGGGTTAATATCAGCAGTGATAAAAACAGCTACCTTGTCTTTTGTATTGCGGTTTATTAAGTACAATCACTAACATAATCACATGGACCCTCACACCCACCCCGATGACTCTGCTATGGTTTGTTATTAATCCTATTTGATAGAAAAAGAAATACACAGTACATAGAAAGGAGATCTGGAAGCCACGCTCATTCCTAACACTGCATTTCCACTGACAGCTCCACACATCTTTCCCTTCTGTGTTCCTTCTCACAAAACCTTGTTCTCAGCAAGCTGCCAATCAGCCTTCCAGAGGTATTAATAGATAACATTCTGGGGAATTTCTTTCTCAAGAGTACTTTCCTTTTAACCAAGGGTTATTCAACACTCGAAGGCCTTAATCAACCAGAGAAATGAATATGTAAGGGTCGACGTTGAGGCCTCATATAGATAGTGTTGGAGATTTGAGGAGCATCTTATCTACCCTGGTCTGCCTCAAGTAAGCTTCAGTCTGGAGGGGTCTTAGCCCCTCTTCTCTCCCCTCCCAAACCCTGCCCTGGTTTTGACTGGCAGGATATTGGGCTACTGGATTTGGCTGAATCTTACCTCCATCAGGGAGGTAAGTAGAGGCTGATACAAGGGGCTTGGCATCCAGTCGAAATACCAGTCCCGGGACCACTTGCACAGAATGTCCTTGATCTCCTGTCCTTCCCACCCCACCCCTGGACAACACTGTTCTTCTAGAAGCATAGCATCAAGAATGGATTTAGTCTAAAGCATGACTCTCCATGGGAAAAAAAAGAATGGGCTTATTCATATATATATATATATATATATATATATATATAAAAGCTCAGTGTCACTGATCATTAGAGAAATGCAAATCAAAACTATAATGAGATACCATCTCACCGGTCAGAATGGCTATTACTAAAAAGTCAAAAAATAACAGATGCTGGTGAGGTTGTCAAGAAAGGGAACACCTGCTCCATTGGTGGGAGTGTAAATAAATTAGTTTAACTGCTGTGGAAAGCAGTATGGCGATTCCTCAAAGAGCTAAAAACAGAACTACCATTGGACCCAGCACTCCCATTACTGGGTATATCCCCAGAGGAACATAAGCCATTCTACCATGAAGACACAGGCACGAATGTTTATTGCAGCATTATTTACCATAGCAAAGACATGGAATCAGCCTAAATGCCCATCAGTGACAAATTGGAAAAAGAAAATGTGGTACATATGCACAATGGAATACTATGCAGCCATAAAAAAGAACAAGATCATGTCTTTTGTGGGAACATGGGTGGAGCTAGACATCATTATCCTTAGCAAACCAAAGCAGGAACAGAAAACCAAATACCTCATGTTTTCACTTATAAGTGGGAACTAAATGATGAGAACTCATGAATACGAAGAAAGAAACAACAGTCTCCTTGAGGGTGGAGGATAGTAGGAGGGAGAGAAGCAGAACAATATTGGGTAGTAGGCTTAGTACCTGGGTGATGCAATAATCTGAACAACAAACCCCCATGACATATGAGTTCACTTACGTAACAAACTTGCACATGTACCCATGAACCTAAAAGTTTTAAAAAAAAAATGGGCTTATTGTAGTGTGTAGTGTGCAGCTCTGCGTGGGGCTCTACTCCCAGTTAGCTCCCCTTCCATGCCCTTGGGGAGAAGGACCACCTGACTTGCTGTGATTAGGAGCTATCTGACCAAATTTCCATCCAAGACAGTTGGACAGACCCCTCTACTGAGGACAGGTCTTTTCCTATAGAGACAGTCCCTGGGACCTGGCATTGGTAAGGTCCCTGGCAACGCCAGTGCCCATTCTCCTGTTGCCATAGGCCTGTCCATGTATAAGGGCCTCATCCCTACTGTTCCTCCATCACCCACTTTCCCCAGGGCTTTCTGATCCTGTCCCCTCAACTTCAGCACCTTTAGAAACACAGAACATCTGGGAAAACTTCTTTTCACTCCTGAAATCACATTCCATCAGATGCTGGTACAGATATACACATACACACAAACATAGTCCTGTATGCAGGTACACTCAGACACACGCTGAGGCATAGACCCACCCACATACATACTGGTCAAAGACACAGAGGAAGACATATATGCATACACAGGCTCAGGAACATAAGGCTGCAAAGCTATGCAGACATATGCATTCACAGGTGTACACAGGCACATCCATAAATACGCAGAGATATATAAACATGCATATTCAACACACAAATTCATACGGAGTCACAGATTTATGCATATTTACGTATATAAATCCACACATATACAGGTATATACATGTACACAAACATATGTACATGTGCACACACAGAAATACTTGTGTATTCTCCCTGGGCCCCCTGTAGAAATACACTCCCAAGAAGTCTCTCCCCCCTCCTCACAATCCAGGGCTCTCTACCCCTTGATAAGCTTCCTGCCTCATCAACTCTGCACACTTCCTGCAGCCCAGTACCTCATCTGTGACAAAGTTAAGAGCAACAACAATAATCTCTTTCAATGTCCCCAGAGTCTGAGAAAGTGGGAGATGGAGAGACACAGAGGCCTGGGGCTGCAGAACCGGGAATGGGAACTGCCAGACACCCTGGCTTTGTGCACAGGGCCCCACTCCTTCCTAAGGATGTGACCCCTCTATAGAGGTAGGCCAGGAGGAAGGAAGGGGAGGACCACCACCCTGCTGGGAATAGATGGGGAACGTGCCTCAGAAGAGGCTGGGGACTCACAGAGCTGGCTGGGAATGGAAATGGGGGCCATTATCAGAAGCCAGAAAGGCACAGGGCAGAGGAACAGGCTGCCCCAAAACAAGACTGCTTTCTCCTGCATCTCCTCGGGGTGTCCCTTCGGTGGGACGTCCATGTTCCACACCAACTCTTGAATCAGCCCCATCGACTTTATTTTTGGAAAACCACCCACCCCGCACCCCATGCTGAATCCAAACAAAGCAAGAGGACCAGCAAAGTACCCCACACCAACTGGGCTCCCACCTCTCCCCCACAATTCTTACCCCTACTCCCAGCTCCTCATCTCCACCACTCCCACCCCTGCTCATATCCCCTCATCACCTCCACCACCCCTACTCCCACCACCCGCACCCCCGCCCCCACCTCCACCCCTACCCCACGCCCGGGGAGGCCTTCAAGACCGCGCCTCTGGTCCTCAATCCACTGTTCAGCGCCGCCACCAGCCCGCACCAGCCGCCCTACTCGCCCATTGCTCACTTTCCCGAAAAGGGTGAATGCTTCTAGGATTTTCCCAAACTGGGGTAGTCCCCCAAAGTGAGCACTGTGTGCTAAGTGCCTTAGATAGACTTAGGTGGACGATTGCATTTAATCCTTACCACGGCTCCAAGAGGTGGATTTTCCCAAACTGGGGTAGTCCCCCAAAGTGAGGAATAAAGAAGCGAGAGTCAGGAAATGCTGTGGGAAGTCTGAATTTGTGAGCAGGAGAGGCTGGGCGACGGGAGGACGCTGCAGGCAGGATCCTCGCGCCATTGGCTTAGAAGGAGCAGACGAAGGGCAGTTGCTTCTTGCATTGAGCTCGTCGCCAATAACCTCCTAGTAGCAGAGCGCACAGTGAAGTCCGCCGCCCTGCGGGCTCTGGCCTGGGCTTCACATCCCTCCCTCCTCAGGGGCCCCACACGTCCCCTTTGATGGCCATCGTCATCTGGCAGCCGTGTACGTGCCCTACATCCCTACTGGCTCACATTTGCTGAGCTCTTACTGCGAGCTAGGCTGTGTGCTAAGTGCCTTAGATAGACTTAGGTGGACGATTGCATTTAATCCTTACCACGGCTCCAAGAGGTGGGTGAGGCCATCATTCCCATTTCACAGATGAGGAAGCGGGGGCTTAGTGGAGATAAACAACGTGCCTGTATCTGCGTTGGCACGTGGCAGCACTGGGAGGTGAACTGCAGGGTCTTGCTCCAGCATATGTGGGCTTAGCCACTGTACTAAACCCCCTCACTCCTGGCACCCATGCTGCTGCCTACATCTGCTGTTGGAGGAGGGCATCTTGTCTCTCAGCCATCCCTAATTCCCCCATCCTTTCTTTTCTCTTATCCACACCTTATATCCACTTCCACTACTCTCATTGGTCACATCTGTGGTTCGAATTTATTGCCCTCATAGCAAAGGAGGCAAAGGATTTCCCCACACACATACCATCCAGCCTACCCCCACCCCCTCCCCGGAACTTCTATCACTTGGTTTTGCTTTGAGGCTTCCCTGTGTCTCAGCCCTCCTCACAGACAGGACTTGGGTTCTCCAGTCAGTGGGAGGGTGTCAGTTTGGGGAGGTGAGTTCAGGCAGCTCAAAGTGGTAGGATTAAAAATCCACTTTTACTACCCCTTTTCCCTTCCCTGGCGCCCTCCCCCTCACCTTTGGTACAGAGGGCCACACAGCAGCCACTCCCATGCTTAGGTTGCCCTGGTGACCAGTATGCAAAATTCCAGCGGCTCCCATCAGTCCAGCAAAACCGCTTCCAAAGGAACTAGAGAAGTGACAGGTTAGGTCAGCAGACAGAGGTTCAGATCAGGACCTCACAGAACACCCCCTGTTGACTTCTCTCACTGCCTGCCAGAACAGGAGCCAGACACCCTAGAGACCCATTCCTAAGGGTTTTCAGGCAATGGCAGGGAAAGAGCAACCATCTCTCTCAGCCATCACACAGAGCCAGCTTCCCAAACATTACTGTGTATACATTATCTCCTGGGGATCTTGTTAAAATGCAGGTTCTGATTCCAGAGGTCTGCGGTGGGGTCCAAGATTCTGCATTTCTAACAAGCTCCCAGGTGACGGTGACACTGCTGATCCACGGATCGCATTCTGAGTACCACATATAATGCAACTTATTCACCCACAATTCCAGAGCCACCCTGAGAGATGAAGCTCCCCATTTTAGAGATGAAGAAACCAAGACTCCAAGATTACCTATTTAGCTAGCTTTCTAAGTGACTAAGCTGGGCCTGAAATCTGTCTTGTGACTCCAGTAGTATGCTGGTAAATGTTTATAAGGCAG